AAAGTGTGATATTGAAAAAAAAAAAAAAAGGCTGGATACAAACACCAGGATGCAAAAAAAAAATTTCAAAATGTGCATCAAATTAGTTGAAATTGTGTATAATTTTTTAGAAAAGAGCCGTTTTAATTTTAATAATGAAAAATCTATTGAAAGTATTAGTATTAATAATAATTGATTAGATATTTTTGTCCTTTATTGTATTGCTGTTGTTTTTGTTTTGTTTTACATTTTTCTGAAATTACAAGTATATGTGTAAACCCAGTTGAATATTAATATATAATTAAATAATATATATTTTAAATTCTATATAATAACAAATCAGATTTTTTAGTATTTAGGATTTCATATATACTTCATATATTTTAGAAAAGAAAAGAATGATTTTATATTAATAGTAATATTAATAGTAATAGTAGTTTAATTAAAATGATTAGTATTAATAATTAATGATTAGATATTGTCATCTTATTGCTGTTGATGTGACACACGCATATATTATTATTGTTATTATTATAAATATAAATATATATAAATATAATACATCATATTTATTTATTTACAATGTCAAGTCAAATTTATTTGTATAGTATTTTTGGCTTTTCATTTTTTTTTTTGTAGAAACCATGATACATTTTTCCAGGATTCGTTGATAAAGAGAAAGTTCAAAAGAACAGCATTTTTTGAAATAAAAAATTGTAACATTATAAATGTCTTTACTGTCACTTTAGATCAATTTAATGCATCTTTGCTAAATAAAAATATGTTTCTTTAAAAAAATCTCACTGACCCCATACCTCCCAGTTGAGGCTGAAATGACTAAAGTTGTCAGGAAGTTGTTTATTGAGGTTTAAATGTGACGTTTAAACCTCTGAAGCTCTGAATCTCGTGTTTACACACTCAGAGAGACATCTGGTGCTTCGCTCCCACAAGAGGACATTGAGATTCAGCTCATTTGTTTGGCTTCTGGTGCCACTCTGAACCGGAGCGTGTTATCAATCGAGCCGTATGTCGCTATAATAATCCTATTTGAGGCGTATTCATAGAGAGAGCGCTCACCCGTACATGACGAGACTAGAAGGGTTTGTAGTTGAATTACTGGTTACTGGTCTTTCTGAAATGACTTTGGGAAGCCGTCAGGAACAGATCAGCTCACGGGCGGCCATTCGCTGAGACGATGCTCTAATCACCTTCATCCAGGACTTTGACAATTACCTCACTGCTTCCCTGCTGTGAGAGCGCCGAGAGAATGGGAAAAGGCCAGAGAGTTGCGTATCCCATCTCGCAGTATCTACACCAAAGGCCACCGCGTCCCTCCGTCTGACAGCCAATTAACTGAGAGGGGCCTCTGCGCGAGCGGCGGACGGGAGGAAAGCTCTCGCTCTCACTTCAGTTTGGCGTTTGTGAGATTAGAGTTGTGTAGAGACGTGTGGGTCGATGAACGCTAGAATGTCAGGTTCTGCTCGTTGTGTGTCCGACTGAAGGGAATTGATGATTGAACACATTGTATTTATATATACATATTTTTACGTTTACATTTTTATTTATTTTATTTATACAGTTCTTCTACATTTATATTTATTTATAGTACAGGAACTTGCTACCGGGCGGCCATTCGCTGAGACGATGCTCTAATCACCTTCATCCAGGACTTTGACAATTACCTCACTGCTTCCCTGCTGTGAGAGCGCCGAGAGAATGGGAAAAGGCCAGAGAGTTGCGTATCCCATCTCGCAGTATCTACACCAAAGGCCACCGCGTCCCTCCGTCTGACAGCCAATTAACTGAGAGGGGCCTCTGCGCGAGCGGCGGATGGGAGGAAAGCTCTTGCTCTCACTTCAGTTTGGCGTTTGTGAGATTAGAGTTGTGTAGAGACGGACACGTGTGGGTCGATGAACGCTAGAATGTCAGGTTCTACTCGTTGTGTGTCCGACTGAAGGGAATTGATGATTGAACACATTGTCTGTTTATATATACATATTTTTACGTTTACATTTTTATTTATTTTATTTATACAGTTCTTCTACATTTATATTTATTTATAGTACAGGAACTTGCTACTGCCAATGCATACGGTGATACAGTGCCATGAGTATTTAAGACTTTTTTAAGAAATACTGTTGCTGCACAAATAACATATAAAATAACCCATAGCAGATAGCCATATAAATGCAAGGCAGTAAGCTCATTGGCTGCATATGCAGCATGAACCAATCAGCTTGTGCCAAGTCGTATAACTCTCTGAATATCATCAGTTACATTAACAACCCGTCAGCCTGCGCCATCTAGAGTTTCATGACTGAACTATATACGTATATATATGCACATTTTTATTTATTTTATTTATTTATACAAATTTTTGTTTTATATTTCTTTTTATTGTATTCATTTGCATTTATTTTATTGTATTGTTGCTGCACATATATTTCTGTTTGTAAAAACGGCATTAAAAAATTATTGCAGACAGATAGATAGTCAGTGTGGGACTCAACAAAAGCCATTTCTATTTTTGCAATTAACATTTATATCTACATATTTTTGTACATTTCTGTTTGTATCTACATATGTTTATTTTACATTTCTCTTTATTTATTTTGTATATTTATACATACATTTTTTACATTTTTATTTATGTGTACACATATATTTATTAGATATTTATTTTTATTTTATTTTTTATTTTTATATACATTTTATTTTGCATATCTGTTTGTTTTTGTTCGGGCATATTTCTTATTTTAGAATTCTGTTTACTTCATTGATATATTTAGATGTATTTATTTTCTTTTTCTTTTGCTACACACATTTTTATTTGTAAAACCTTTATTAAATGGTTGTTGCATTCAATTCAATGTGACACTTTAGCTATACAAATAGTTTGCACAGAGGTTTGTGGCTTGCGTTTCATGAGTGAGCCCTAGTATGTGAAACATAGTATATAGCATGCAATGATCATCTCAGATATAAAAAGTTCTTGCACATTTTTAATCAGTCAAATGCAACTTTTGGCAGTCTAATGAAATGACGAGCCAAGAAAGAGATGATAAAACTCACAGTTGATATTGCCATCCGTTTATCACACTGTGGGATACAGTATTTCACGTAAATTACATTTCGAATAACTTACTGTTCCTACTGTTGCTGCAGTATGTAGTATGTATTCTGCGTACAGGATCTTCTGTGTGCTTACAATCACCTCCTATAATATACAGCCAGAGAATTAGCGTATTCCACAATGCAATATGCTTGACATGACCTTTGATTATTTCATTATCTGACTGCCAAACAGTGTGCATACTACATACTACTTCCTGTCAGAAATAATGAGAGCGTCGTTTTTAAAGATTAAGGTCGTACTAGTGTAAAATAACACTGTTTACCAATTAGAGACACGCTCTCATATGTATGCATGTATAATTCAGACCGATGTGCCGTAGTGCGGTCGTGTAGATGGTGTGTTTTACCCAACGTTTCTTTTGTCACTGAGACGGAGGAATCAAAGTGGGATTGAAACGGTGATTAAAGTCTGTGTTGAATGAGAAAAATCATTTCTGAGGCTTTTCTTTAGATCAGTGCCTGATGAGACCTAAATACCAGAGCGTCCCAACAGCCTTGTCAAAGATTGATGATGAAAAACATGAAAACGGAGAGAATGAAGAGAAAGGAGGAAGAAAAGACAAGGGAATGTTATTTTAGGATGATTAATTTCAGAGAGCTGCAAATATGAATTTAAATACAAGACATACTAGAGCTGCTTTCAACCGATTTCAACCACTTCTGGCTTTAAAGTGCTGAGAGTTTTGATTATGCTTTTATTAAAGGAATAGTTCAGCCAAAAAAATGCATGTCGTTGCAAACCCACATGATTTTCTTTCATGCAGAGAATCGAGAAGAAATCAAAGAATACAATATATTTTAAAATGTAATTTATTCCCATTTAAACAAATGTATGGCTTAATATTTTTGTGGAAACCATGATTCATTTTTTTAGGAGTCTTTGATGAATAGAAAGTTCAAAAGACCAGCATTTATTTGAAAACTTTTGTGTCCTGTCACTTTTGAACAATTTAATGCATCCTCACTGACTGAATTCAGTTATGCCCTATAATTCAAGATACAGTATTGGGGCAAAAATGCTCCTGTATGAGTTTTTGTCTCATATTTATATCATATGATAAGCGATATCACACGCATGCTGTCTGATTTTACACAACAGTTCAGTAAATAATAAGTTAATATTGTGTTATATTTTAAACACAATATTGTCTGTTTTTGCTCAGTTTTGCCAATTGACCTGAAAGCATCAGAAATACTTTTGAACAATTTAATGCATCCTCACTGAATGAAAGTATTCATTTCTTTCCAAAAATGTCTGACCCCAAACTTTTGAACAGTAGTTTAGTAGAATAAAATTAAAATGTGTTTTCACTGAAAAACACCAAAATGGAAAAAAATACAAAAATTTAAATAGTTATTCTCTGAAAATCTCAAATGTCATTTGTGTTCATATACAGTATATTCAAGCATATTTTGTTACCAAACACAGTATGTTTGATTAATCAACTACTTTAATGGCATTTTTATGACAATTTTTGTCAAATCAATGTTGTTAAAATGAACTAAAACTAATACTAAAACTGTTAAATTAAATAAAAATATTATGTAAAAACTAGGGCTGTCAGTTTAACACGTTAACTTAATGAATTAGTTATGAAAAAATAACGCGATTGAAATATTTGAACGCAGTTAACGCACTGGCCCCGCCCCAAGACCTGTACGTCATGCTATAATTCATACAGTTGACTGTTGACAAATATGATGCAGGGCAACAGCTCCATTAATTCAGTTATGCCCTATAATTCAAGATACAGTATTGGGGCAAAAATGCTCCTGTATGAGTTTTTGTCTCATATTTATATCATATGATAAGCGATATCACACGAATTCTGTTTGTCCCAAGTATTAATGTGATTTTACACAACAGTTCAGTAAATAATAAGTTAATATTGTGTTATATTTTAAACACAATATTGTCTGTTTTTGCTCAGTTTTTGCCAATTGACCTGAAAGCATCAGAAATACCCTAGAGAGTTTAGTTTAAATGTCTGTTTGAATATTGTAGATTAAAGTTAGTCATCTAGAATTTAATAATATTCTAGGGATGCGTGATATGTATGAGCTGGTTTTTATATACGCTATTGTTTAAAACCACTGCGGTCAGTACGATTTTTTCTTTTTTTAAAGAAATTAATACTTTTATTCAGCAAAGATGCATTAAATTGATCAAAAGTGACATTTATAATGTTTCAAAAGGTTTCTGTTTCAAATACATGCTGCTCCTTTGAACTTTCTATTCATCAAAGAATCCTGAAACGGTTTCCACAAAATATGAAGCAGCACAACATGTTTTCAACATTGATAATAATAAAAGTGTTTCTTGAGCAGCAAATCAGCATATTAGAATGATTTCTGAAGGATCATATGACACTGAGGACTGGAGGAATGATGCTGAAAATTCAGATTCATATTCACATAAATGTTGAATCAAATAAAATATTTCTTTCTAAAGCTACTATTTGTAATGTCTATTTAATACTTTCTAATTTAACACAGAATAGCTTTAAATAATCGTTTGGGGGTATTTTCACAGCCAAATGTATTTTGCGATTAATTAGATTAATTAATCGACACATCATGTAATTAATTAGATTTAAAAATGTAATCGATTGACAGCCCTAATAAAAACTAAAAAAAACTAAAAAACTAATTAGAAATGTGTCCCTGTAAGCTAATTTAAATCAAATAAGTTTAAACTGAAGTACTAAAATTTCTAAAGTTAAAAACAACAAAAATAAATTAAAGCTAAACAAAAAAATGATAAAATGACAAAAGTTTATAACAAAATTGCTAAAACTTAAAAATGAAATAAAAAATGAACTGAATATATATATAAAAGTTTCAAAATAGCAATAAATAATATCTAAAAACATATTTTAAAAAGTAAATTAAAGCTAAATAAAAAAATTATAAAAATGACAAAAGCATATAACCAAATTTCTAAAACTTTCAAATGAAATAAAAACTGAACTGAATATATATAAAAGTTTCAAAATAGCAATAAATAATATATAAAAACATATTTAAAAAAGTAAATTAAAGCTAAATAAAAAAATAATAAAAATGACAAAAGCATATAACCAAATTTCTAAAGCTTACAAATGAAATAAAAACTGAACTGAATATATATAAAAAGTTCAAAATAATAATAAATAATGTAATAGTATATGCATAATACTAAAATAGCACTCTAGTGCACATTGCAAACAAAAAAAAACTGGATTTTGAAATATTTTTCACTCAGAAATTGCCAGTAAATTTCACAAATAATTACAAAGAAATGGTCATTAAATTAAGCATGAAATGTTGAAGTAGAAAGACTGAAGTAGTATTTTCTTGTAAAACCTACTCCTGTCATTTTTGTTTGAATCAATATTTTGGTCCATTTGTCTGAAAGGATGCAACATTTTAAATGCAAACACCTAAGTTAATTTAGTTATTATTTAGTTATATAAGAAGTTAATGCCAACTATATTTGAGACCTATATTGCCTCAAAGTGAAGAAACATAAACTAAAAGCTATAAAACTCAGATTTTGATGTATTAAAACAAGTAAACGGTCATTTTCATGTAAAGGATTAATTGAGAACTCTTCCTGGGAAGCATTTACCTGTAAATCTGTGTTTGTGTGTGTTTTGTGTCTCAGGTCTGCGTCTAGCGGAGCAGCTGGGCCGTCGGGAGGACGAGGCCAAGATCCGACACCGTCTGGGGCTCTCGCTGTGGGCCAGCGGCAATCTGGAGGAATCCCAGCACCAGGTACCGTCCGCTCACACACACACACACACACACACACACACACCTCATGAACGCTCTTCTTGACAGAGCGCCACTGTCTCTGCTTCTTCTAATGATGTGCCTGTGGGCAGACGCGCGCGCATGTGTGTGTGTGTGTGTGTGTGTGTGTGTGTTTCGGATGTTTGTGGACTTGTCATCTCCGTCTGACTCTTCACTTGTGACTTCATCATTCTGTGAGGCAATCAAAGAAGCCGAATCTGCTGTTCAGGGAGTCAAGCTGCACAAACACACACCCTCTGCATTTAGGCCCTAATTGATTCAGGCCTGTCAGCCCAAACGAGACCCTCGTCATCAGCAAACACTCCAGCTCAGGGTCTGTTTGAGGAATCACTGCTCCGCTCCGCACCGCTGAGGATTCAGATGTAGCTTTGAGCAGGAACATTAAAGTTAACTAAATCTACAACTAAAAGCATCAAAAACTTTAACTGAAATAAAATATTTTAAAAATGATATTTTTATTGTAATGTTTAAAATGTCAGATGAATATTTCTCATTTTAGTTTAAATGAATGTACTATAGTAACTGATATATTATATTATATTATTATAATATTTAAAATAGTTTTAATAAGATCAATTGTATTAATTTAATTAGTATTAATAATATTAATTTCAATTTTACTATTACTATTTAATTTCAGTTAGTTACCAGATAAATATTTTTTCATTTTCATTTAGTTTGGATTGATGTACTAAAATAACTAAAACCAAAACTGAAATAAAAAATGTTTAAAAAATGATACAGACACATTAAAAAACTAAACTAATAAAATGACAAACACACAACAAAATTTCCAAAACTTGAACTTAAACTATAATAGAAAGGGAAGACATAAAAACAAAAACTAATTCTAAATATTAATAAAAACTCGAATAGTATCTCAATAATTCTAAATGAACACTGGTGTTTTGGAGCAGGAATCATATGTGACCCTGGAGCACAAAACCAGTCATAAGGATCAATTTTTTGAAATTGAGATTTATACATCATCTGAAAGCTGAATAAATAAGCTTTCCATTGATGTATGGGACAATATTTGGCCGAGATACAACTATTTGAAAATCTGCAATCTGAGGGTGCAAAAAAAAATATACTAATTAATAAAATGAATATTATTTATTTTGTATTACATATTGTTCATTCATTTATTTTTAACACCGCACCCCCAGCACCCCCATTTTTTCGTGGGCTACACTCCAGGGGGTGCTGCAGCACCCCCAGCACCCCTACTTCCCGCTGTAATGCATATTAGCACATTTTATTCAAAGAGTCACTCAAAGCTGCATTTTCTTTGTAACTAGAAGCATCAAAATGAACTGTAAAGATAATGATTGTTTCTCAAACAGTCTCGCCTTAAAGCACAATTGATCGAGTCAGAAATGGACATGTTGAAGCGCTCCAACAAACACAATGTTTACACTCCACTTGAACTGCATTTTTACAGTCGAGTGATTCATCAATTATTGCTAAATGGTTCCGCTGAATCGTTAGAAAAACAGAAATTGCTTCAGAAATACCCTAGAGAGTTTAGTTTAAATGTCTGTTTGAATATTGTAGATTAAATTTAGTCTTCTAGCATTTAATAATATTCTAGGGATGCGTGATATGTATGAGCTGGTTCTTATATACGCTATTGTTTAAAACCACTGCTGTCAGTAAGATTTTTTTTTTCTTTTTTTAAAGAAATTAATACTTTTATTCAGCAAAGATGCATTACATTGATCAAAAGTGACATTTATATTGTTTCAAAAGGTTTCTATTTCAAATACATGCTGCTCCTTTGAACTTTCTATTCATCAAAGAATCCTGAAACGGTTTCCACAAAATATGAAGCAGCACAACATGTTTTCAACATTGATAATATTAAAAGTGTTTCTTGAGCAGCAAATCAGCATATTATAATGATTTCTGAAGGATCATATGACACTGAAGACTGAAGGAATGATGCTGAAAATTCATCAGCGCATCACAGGAATAAATTACATTTTAACATTATATTCACATAGAAAACAGTTATTTTAAATTGTAATAATATTTCACAATATTGCTGTTTTTACTGTATTTTTGATCAAACTTGAGCAGCAAATCAGCATATTAGAATGATTTCTGAAGGATCATATGACACTGAGGACTGGAGGAATGATGCTGAAAATTCAGCAGCGCATCACAGGAATAAATTACATTTTAACATTATATTCACATAGAAAACAGTTATTTTAAATTGTAATAATATTTCACAATATTGCTGTTTTTACTGTATTTTTGATCAAATAAATGCAGCCTTGGTGAGCAGAAGTGACTTCTTTCAAAAACATAAAAAAATGGTACCGACCCCAAACTTTTGAACGGTAGGAAATATCGGTCAGTGTTGGATGTTTATTTATTCTAGTCTATTTTAATATTTTAATGATCTAGCACTAAATGAAAAAGGACAGTGGTAGATTATTGAAAAGATTTAACTCTTTAAAAGCCCATAAATCTGTATTTTATGCCTCATAGATGAGTGTTGCTACATGTGAAACTAATATAAAATGTTTTTTGATGGAAAATATATTAGAAAAAAAATAAACATCCTCATAAAGGTATAAAAAAGCCCCGCAGGAAAATCATTTCTGTCTGCAATCATCGAGCGGTAATAAAAAGTGTATTTCTGATCTGAATTAGACATCGCTGTTTGTTTTCCTGAAATATTTTAGGCTTGCTTTGTGGTCTAAACTTTTCAATCAATAACATAAAACCAGCCTGAGGTGTACTGAACCTCTGAGATTATTTTTGAGCTCGAAGCGACAGATTTTATTTGATTTCTTTGATGATTTCTGGAGGTCGTCGTCGTCTCAGACGGTGACAGTGATTGTAGTCGTCTCTGTAATCGTCTGCTCGGATCACATTTCATCATGGCCGTCTGGGGAGGAAGGCTCTAGATTGTTCTTCTCCCTCTGTAAATTGCCGAGCGAGTCTCACGTCTCCGGCGCGGAGAAGGATGTTGATCACATATGTGCCGTACGTCTACAGGGAGACGGAAGATTAGAGGATAATGTGTTTAGATCATCGTACAGCCAGTCTTGTCAATTAGGCAGCTGTGCCATTGGGGAGGGACGTGCTTTAGTTCAGTCTGAAAGAGCTTGAAACCGTCAGACTGGAGTCTCACGCGCCTCTGGCGGCAGCTGTCAGTCAAACAGACACGCCACGTGCTACACGATCATATCAGAGACGTTCAGATGGGTGCCGCTTTTGTTAAGACGTCCAGATGTTTGTGCACGGCACTGTCTCACAAGGAAACGTCACTTTTGCTGCATTTTTCCTTTGCACCACCAAAACAATTTTTTTAATTCTTTCTCTTGGCTCAGTAACTGTAAAAAGCGTAAAAATATGAGTGATGTTTGCCAATGCAGAAATCAATGCCACAGTGCTAGGGTGTTTTAAATGGTTGCTAGGTTATTGTTAAAGTATTTTCAGTGTTTTTTTACTGTGTTGTCTCTACATATTGCTCAGATCCTCAGGTCATCCAAGATGTAGATGAGTTTGTTTCTTCATCAGATTTGGGGAAATATCACCAATGGATGCTCTGCAGTGAATGGGTGCCGTCAGAATGAGAGTCCAAACAACTGATAAAAACATCACAATAATCCACACCACTCCAGGCTGTGTGTTGGGAAGAAACAAATCCATCAAGACGTTTTTAACTTTAAAACCGTTGCTTCTGGCTAAAATAGGAGTCCATAATCCATACAATTGATTCTTCCATTGAAAAATCTCCTGTTGTCATATCAACATTTTTGTTTAGAGCTGTTTTGGACTATTTTCGCTTATAAACGGTGTTTGATCTGTGCATATTTCTCTCTTGATTCAAGCAAGATTACTTTTTCACTGGAGAAAGCAATATTATGGATAAAGGACTTGTATTTTAGCTGGAAGTGATGGTTTGAAGCTAAACACATCTTAATAATGGGCTTGTTTTACTAACACGCAGCTTTTGTCTTCACAAGACATTCATTAATGGACTGGAGTGGAGTGGATTACTTGTGGATTACTGCGATGTTTTTATCAGCTGTTTGGACTCTCATTCTGATGGCACCCATTCACTGCAGAGCATCCATTGGTGAGCAAGTGATGCAGTGCTACACATCTCCAAATCTCTTCTGATGAAGAAACAAACTCATCTACATCGTCTATGGGCGTGAGGGTGTCAGCAAATGCTAATTTTTTGGTCAAACTATTACTTTAACTTCCAAATGACACACTAAAGCTTTAAGTATGTACACACTCTTGTGAATGTGCATTTGTGTTTGCGTTTGCAGAGTGTTTCAGGCCGTAGAGTGGAGAAAATGAAAAGAAACACGAGTCAGCTGATAGTACAGCGTGTGTGTGTGTTTTGTGAGTGTAGTAATAGTAGCTTTTCATGGCTTTCCTCCCTGGTGACTCAGTTTGGTGTGTTTGTGTGTGTGTGTGATGTATAGACAGTTCTGGAGCGCTGCAGATTGCAGCTAGAGTGTGTGTGTGCTGATGCATTCCGCTCTTAATTGATTGCAGGCTGGCCGTGCTGTATGCTGATGAAGGGCTCTCTGCAGCCGAACCCCTGAGAAACGCTGCATTCCACGGCACAAACACACACACACACACACACACACGTGCTCGGACACACACACACATCTCGAAAACACATAAATACTCACACATGCAACATCAGGCAGCACTGGGGGCACTAGACTACAAGCTACTCCTCATATGAAGCAGGACGGCTTGACAACTACAGTCCAGCTGTTTTTTTTAAAACACATTCAACAGTATTTTTGACTAGTTTAGCAGTAAAAATATCTAAATATTCTTTAAACAAGACTCGTTTGCTTGGCGCAGATTGCATAAGATATTAATATTAATATTTCTCTTTCTAAATGCGTTTTCCTTGTTTTAAGTGTAATTGAATTTAACCTCACTAAATTTAGATCGATTTGTGCGTAAAACAAGAAAAAGATAATTGAAAAAAAAAATGTGTAGATATATTTGATTAAATCAAGTTATTACTTTTATGCCATTTTAAGCTTGTACGTTTGCTTGTGAAGTTAATTTCTGTTGCTTTAGGAATATTTACATATTTTATGGGAAAATAAAGTTAAAATTGCTTGCTAGAACTACGTTGAGCTATTTAATGGGACAATATCTTGATTAATGTATAAATATTAGCTGATGTGGTTTAATTCTGCAGTAAATAGTGTTTTTCAGGCAGAGCGACATTTAAATTCCAGTGACCGCATTAACTTTAAACAACTTAAAAATCTAGAAAACTCAATAATTTAGTTAAAAACATAGGGACAAAAAGCGTTTACTAAATATTTAGATTCAAAAAAGAAGACATGGCTGATTGTTGACATTGTTTATCCAGTAAATCATTTATTTAATCAATAAATCATGGATTTGATCTGTAAATTATATATTTGATATGTGAATTTTGATAAGTGAGTCATTTATTTCATCAGTGAATAATGTATTTGATCAGTGAATTGTTAATCATTAAATCATGTATTTGATCTGAAATATATTAAATCATATTTCATTTATTTAAGCGTTTATTTAATTAGTGAATCATATATTTAGATTATATTGTTTGTTTGATTAGTGAAACGTTTATTTGATTAGTGAATCATATATTTAGTTATTTATTGTTTATTTGAATAGTGAATTGTTTATTTGAATAGGGAATCATATATTTAGTTTATATAATGCTCATTTGATTAGTGAATCATTTATCTGATCGGTGAATCATTTATTGAATCATTGAATCATGTATTTAATCTAAATCATATATTTCATTTATTGAATCATTTATTTGATTAGAGAATCATATATTTAGTTTATTTATTGTTTATTTGATTAGTATATCATATATTTATCATTTATTTTATAAGTGAATCGTTTATTTCATCAGTGAATCATATATTTGATCCGTATATCATATGTGAATCTGTATTTACTGTACATGAACCACGCTAGTGAATCAACCAACTAAAACGAATCAAACATCTTAAAACAAGTTAAGAGGAAAGAGCGAATTTAATTATTGCATGTGCAACCCAATGTGATGAAAAACACAGCATTTTGTAGCTCATAACTACAGTATTTGCTGCTAGAAAAGTTACATTGAAAGCATTTCTGTTGCACTACTGAAAAACGTAAAGTTATAGCATCGCTACTTTTGTTTGTTCTCAAGACGTACAGTGTTGCCAAGTCCGCGGTTTTCCTGCGTAATTGGGCTACTTTAACCCTCTACCGCATGGTGTAGCCATATGGCAACATACTCTTTGTGTTCATTTCCTTGCCACTGTCTCTTTAAGAGAACATTCTCGTTTTTTTTTGTTGGAAAGAGAAGACCTTAGTTTAGCCAATGATGTGCTTTGATTAAGTCACATGACATGCAGTTTTTTTTCTGTGGCGAGATTTCTGACAGACTGCCGTCTCTTGTCGTCAGTAACAAACGTCAGTAACAAACAAGGACCAGTCCGTGTCACTTCTACAAAAAACCTTAAAATAATATTTTTTTCCAAATTTTTTTTTTTACAGCACTTCAAGTTAAGCCATTCTTAGAAAAGAAAAAGATAAAATATTTTTTTCTATAGGTCTATCATAATGCGTGCGGTAGAGGGTTAATACTGTTGCCGCGGGTTGTTTTTCATGTCCGCGGGTTAAAGCGACCCCGATAACGTGATATTTAGCCCCTGGAGTGCGAATTTTACCAGGGGAACCATGCCAAAAACTTGTATTTTACCCCCCGGAACGCGATTTTTACCGGGGAGCCCCCCTCGAAATGCGATTGGGCTAGTTTTGAGTAGCAATTGGGCGGGTTTTGTTGTGAAAACCTGGCAACCCTGTAGTCAACATCAGCGAGTCTGTCAACATGCGTTGGCAGCGTCACAGACAGCCGTACGCTGACGCTGTCTTTCCCTCCGCCGCTGTGAACGAGAGGTTATCATACGCCAGAAATACCACATCACTCATACCACACACAAACTCGCACTTTCGATCGCTAAACCAGAACCAGACCGGCCGGCAAAAACGCTGCGACTTGCAGTCTCTGTGATTCAGACTTCATTTATTTCCACTGCAAACACAACTGTGGAGACGTTCGTGTGCTTAGATTGGTTTTATGTTGCTCAAAGGCTCGTGTGACAGATAAGTGTTTCATCTCGACTTGCTATGATTTGATTAAAGGCAACAAGAAAATAAGTTTCGAAAGAAACTGGTGTGTTTTAGGTGTGGAGGTCTGCTGCCCTCTACTGTCCACGTCTGAGCGCTGCATCAAAACGCACTGCTCTGGTTAGGCGTCATGTTTCTCCGTAGCGTGATAACACACATGCCAGTGTTTCTGTGGCAGGGCAGGTCAGCGCTTTATTATTAACACATGTGTGAGTAACGCACAAAATCTTGTTTTTGCCTCACAGCTGTACCGTGCGTCGGCTCTGTTCGAGACCATTCGTCATGAAGCGCAGCACAGCACCGACTACAAGCTCTCCCTGTTCGACCTGCAGACCTCCTCGTACCAGGCTCTCCAGAGGGTCCTTGTCAGCCTCGGTATAAATATTCTCCTCCTATTTCTTCCTGTTTATATCATACATTATGCATTCGGAGCACAGAACAGCTTATCTGTGTATGGAAGGATTAATGTACAGTCCTTACAGCAAAGTAAAGCATCTGTCACTCTGCAGGGGTTTGTTTTGCGATAATGACCAGCTGAGTGGACGTTAAACTGCTTGTTATGTGGCTACACTGCAAAATGTGACTTCTTAATGAAGTCGTTTTGGACTTGTTGACTAGTTAAAATCTTTGAAACGAGATATACTGTATTTATTTATTAGTGTATTTTGTTTTTACTGCACTGGCTGATTTTTCACTCATTTTTAACTTGTGGAAATGTGAAAAATATATTATGCAATGTTGCTTCTGAAGCAACTTGATGTTTTTTGAGGACTTTTAGATCAAAAATACTCATTAAAATAGGAGTTTTTGCCATGTACTTGCCAGTAAATCAATAAATAGACACTACCATTCCAAAGTTTGTGGTCGGTGAGATTTCATGTTTTGAAAGCAGTCTTTTATGCTCACCAACGCTGTATTGTGAAACATTTTTATAATTCAAATGAGCTGTTTTCTATTTGAATGCATTTTAAAATGTAATTTATTGCTGTGATCAAAGCTGAATCTTCAGCATCATCACTCCAGTCTTCAGTGTCACATGATTCTTCAGAAATCATTCTAATATGCTGATTTTCTGCTCAAGAAATAGTTCTTATTATAAATATAAAAAATAAAAAAAACAGTTTTGCTGCTCCATATTTTTGTGGAAACTGATACATTTTTAGATTAAAAAATTTAATATTATTTAAAAAAATTAAACTTAGATAAAGAAAAATTATTAAAAGAACCACATTTATTTGAAATATAAATCTTTTATAACATTATAAAGTCTCTACTGTCAAGTTTAAACATTTTAATGTGTTCTTGCTGAAAAAAAGTATTAATTTCTTTCTGAAAACATCTTATTAACCCAAACTTTTGAATGGTAGTGTATATATTGATCTGTTTTTTCCCCTTTTTCCATATAATAAATGTATACACAGGCTGGCAAGATCCAAAAAGCATCATGAAAACACAATAAAAGCAGCTCCTGTGCCAGTTTTCTGAAGTTATATAATGGCTTTGTGTGATGAACAGACCAAAATGAAGTAACGCTCTACCAGTTGAGCACATAAAGTTTATTTTGGCCATTATGATGACCTGTGGTAGAAATCATGAAATCACTGCTTTCTGTGGCCTGCAGTTCATTGCATATGAATTAATCGCTCAAAGACCTCTGGAAATAAAGTTAGAAGCGCTTGCATGTATTCCTGGGTTTATGCAGACCAGCGCTGACCTCTGACCTCTGCTCAGGTCACCATGATGAAGCTCTGGCCGTGGCGGAGCGCGGACGCACTCGGGCCTTTGCTGACCTGCTGGTGGAGAGACAGACGGGCCAGCAGGACTCTGACCCCTACACGCCCGTGACGGTGGAGCACATCCTGGACACTGTGAACGGGCAGCGGGCGCTGGTGCTCTACTTCTCTCTGGCGGCAGGATACCTGTACAGCTGGCTCCTGGCCCCCGGCTCCGGTAAGACACTCCGGTTCAAACCTCACAAAGGGTTGATTAATGAACTCCCAACATGCCCTTGCACAAGCCCAAATACCAAGTAATGTTCTGCATAACTTTATGCGGTCTTAAAGAAATATCACAAAAGAGGATTAAGGGCCTTATGAAGTATGTTTTCTTTCTCCCAGATTCCGTTTTTTTTCCTTTTTCATTTTTCTGGATTCTGTTATTGTTGTTGCTGTTGTTTTTCATTATTCTGTTTTAATTGTAGTAATCGAAAAACATGTCTGATTAATAGAAATCATGAAAAATTTTATATTTAACAATTTCTTAAAAGTGTAACAAATTATATTTTAGGGCCCTATGTAATCTTTATTTTTTCACCAAATTCAGTTTTTTTTTTTTTTTTTTTTAATCTTCTGGATTCTCTTTGTTTTCTTTTTTCTTAATTTTTTATTTTTCAATAACATTTTTGTAATCATAAAGCATGTGTAATTAATTAAAATGATAAAACTTACATAATTTAACAATAATTTATTTAAAAATGTTTGAAAAAAGTAAAGTTTTTTGGTAATGTTTTTGAAATCGGTTTTATTTTTTCTGAAATTCCGTTGTTGTTGTTTTTTTTTCCAAATTCTGTTTTTTGTTTTAATTTTTATAGTTTTTTCCAGTTAAATTTTAGTAAACAAAAAGCATGTCTTAAACAGTTTAACAACAGTTTATTAAAAATGTGTGTGTGTGTGTGTCTGTGTGTGTGTTTTATTTATTTTTTTTTTTAATCTTTATTATTTTTCCCAAATGCATTTTTTGGTTTGTTTAAAATTTTCTGAATTGTCTTTCTTTTTTTCTTCATTTTTCATTTTTTAATTGCATTTTAGTAATCATAAAGTATGTCTAATTAATTAAAATGTTAAAACTTACATGATTTAACAACAAAAAACTGAAAAAAATTAAAAAATTTTATGGTCCTAATCTTATTTTTTATGAAATTCTTGTTTTGTTTTGTTTTTACAAATGTTGTGTTTTCACTTTTAATTTTTATCTTTTTTTCCAGTTAAATTTTAGTAAACAATAAGCATGTCTTTAACAGTTTAATGACAATTTATTAAATGTTGAGCAAAAATTTAAATTTTTAGGTCCCTATGAAATCTTTTTTATATTTTTTCAAAATTAGTTTTTGTGATATTTAATTCTTCTATTTTGGAATTAAATTTTATTAATTAAAAAAAACACATGTCTATATAATGGAAATTATAAAATGTATACAATTTAACAACAATTTATTAAAAGTTTGATGAAAATTACATTTTTAGTGCCCTATAATTTCCCCCCAAATTCTATTTTAATGGCTTAATTAATTTTAATAATCAAAAATAATAATAATAGGGCCCTATGAAATGTTTTATTTTTCAGAAATTCCGTGTTGGCTCTTTTAATTTTTATATAATTATTATTTATTTTTTTTATGGAACTAGACCTTATTTGCGATTTGATCAAGTGTACAGGCCTACTTTTGATTTATTTATCCAAAATTGGCCAAATTCTGTGGCATTCTGCATCATAGAGTAAATTCCATTTTTATAACTGGATTCTATGATTCTCTTTATGTTTTCCATGGAAATCGTAGGATCCTAAACACAGATTCTACACAGAGTGATGTGTGTGTGGGGTGATGGAGGTGTCAGACAGACACAGCACACATCAGAACAGTTCATCAGAGCCCGATCCGGAGACACGCTGAGACTCTGTCTGCCTGTTTGAACACAGACCAACACATTTACACTAACAGATCAATAACCCACACTGATCTGCGAAACTGATGCCTTTCTCATGTTGTAAAGGTACATTTCTGTACCATTTTATGCATTTCATTTGACAAAGTGCATCTAGAAATGTTAATAAATTGCATTAAACCGTCTCAAGCTAAACCAGATGAGTATTTAAAAAATATACTGTTTTAAAAGCTATCAAAAGTTGATGTCAACTGTTTTAAGGCATCTGTTACACACCTAAACACACCATAAGTTTGGTTGAACCACATCCTACAACAAAGAAACAATTATTTGATCAAATCTGGAGTTGCTTCAATGTCAGGAATATACACACACACATGCTCAGTTGATCGGTGTGTTTGTCGCTGCCGTATTCCTCACACCTTCTGTTCCCCGCCATCTGAAAGCACGTGATGATGATTTCCTGCTGATTACAGAACCGGCATTGCTATCAAAATGCGCATTACAATTGCATTCGATTAATCGTGCAGCCCTATTTGTGATGTATTTTTTCTTTTAGGTTTATGTATGTATGTATGTACATGTAACATTTTTACATTTTATATTCATAAAGCATTATTAAAATTTTTCATATATATAGTGCTTTCCTCATAAAAGTTTATATTACATTTACATTTTATTGATTTAATTTTATTGTTTTAAATATATAATAATATGGCAAAAAGTGTGTGTGTGTGTGTGTGTTTAATTTTATTATATTATATTGTAGATATGTATTTTTTATATTTTTATTTTTATATTTGTTTTTTTCCCCATAAAAATTTTACATTTTCACATTTTATATATTTTTATTGTTTGTTATTTTTATTTTTCATAGTTATATTTAAGCTAAATATTAAGCCAACAATTCTGATTTAATTTTATTTATTTATATGCATTTATTTATTATTTATTTATTATGTATTTTTGTATATGTATTTATGAAACATACTTTTAGTTTCAGATTTTTTTTTTTTTCCATAAAAGTGTGACTCGTGTCAATTTTGAAAATATTTTGAAATCAATGATTTTCATCTTAGTTTTAGTATACTGAGATACCCTGGGCATGCACTCACACACGACTGCACACATCTTCATCTCTCTGGACTTGAAGCTCATTTATTTATTCCAACATTGACATCTGTAACAGAAAGACAAGCTCATGCAATCAAACAGACATATGTCTGAAAGCAGGGAGTGCTTTTGCTCATTTACAATATTCACCTAACTAGATTTCAGCCTCTCGCAGGAGAGCGCTGACCTTGCTCGTGACTCTTGTGTGGCTCTATACGTTATTCTAACTTCATTATTACGCAAAGCACGCACGTTATGTCTGAAACACGGACACTCTCAGGAGTTTGAGAGCATTCGGTCCGGTCTGAACTCTGCTGGATGATCGTCTTTTACATCTGACCTTTAAGTTTGATCATTTTAAGATTGAACGACTTTACCATTTGTGAAATCAGAAAGCTCTTATAGTGCACTGCTTTTATAAACATCACCAGCAGCAATATTCACCATTAATCACCATTGATATCATCTCTGTGCAAATCAGCATGAGCTCTGCTCTCCGTCTCACAGGTATCCTGAAGTTTCATGAGGTGTATCTGGGCGAGGGCGCGTCGGATGGCGGTACGTCAGACTTCCAGGAGGGCGGTGGCGGCTCTGTGCCCGCGGCTGGTGGCTCGTCTCTGGAGCAGCACATTAGTAACACGCGGGAAGCTCTGGGTGTGGATTCATACTACAGCAGGTGAATGTTTCAATCACACAGCCTCCATACACCATGATCACACACACACCGCAGCTAAATTCTGTTGTCAGTTCACCTTTTATGTTCCACTTTATATTCCATTCATTTATTAAATATATTTAAATAATTTCTGACTGTTATTTACGGTTTAAAAGGAGTTTCTCAACTGATGTAATCTGGTGATGTAATCTAGGGCATTGCTTGGTTGTTGCTAAGGTGTTCTAGGCTTTGCTAGGTTGCTGTTAAGCTTTACTGGATCTTAGGGTGTTGCTAGGGCGTACTAGATTTTTGTTAGGTTATTGTTAATTGGTTGCTATGGTGTTCTGAGCTTTGTTAGGTTGTTGCTAGGGTGTACTGGATGTTAGGGTGTTGCTAGGTGGTTGCTATGGTGAACTAGATGTTTGTTAGGCCCTCGTTAGGTGGTTGCTAGGGTGTACTGGATGATAGGGTGTTGCCAGGTGAATGCTAGGGTTTTCTGGATGTTCAATAGGTGTTGCTAGCGTGTACTAGATGTTTGTTAGGGTGTCACTAGGTGGTTGCTAAGGTGTACTAGATATTTGTTTGGGAATTGCTAAGAGGTTGCTAAGGTTTTATGGATGTTTGATAGGGTGTAATAATGTTACAGTGTTGCTAGGTGGTTTCTAGGGTGTTTTTAATGTTTGTTAGAGTGTTGCTAGGTGATTTCAAGGGTGTACTGGATGTTAGAACATTGCTAGGTGGTTGGTATGGTGTTCCTAGTGTTTGTTAGGGTGTTGCTAGGTAATTTCAAGGGTGTACTGGATGTTAGAGCGTTGCTAGGTGGTTGCTATGGTGCTCCTAGTGTTTGTTAGGGTGTTGCTAGGTGATTTCAAGGGTGTACTGGATGTTAGAGCATTGCTACGGGGTTGCTATGGTGTTCTTACTGTTTGTTAGGGTGTTGCTAAGTGGTTTCTAGGGTGTTCTGTTTGTTAGAGCATTGTTAGGTGGTTCCTAGGGTGTTAGGGTGTTGCTAGGTGGTTGCTCATTATTAAAAAATATTTAAAAAATAGTATTGTATTTGTTATGATAGATATTATGAGATAATTTTTGTAATGTTTAAACTTTGCAAATATTTTTGCAAAACATTGAACAAAATAATGTTACTCCCTTTGATCTTCTTAGTTTTGTAAAATAAAAGTAAATGAACTAAGCAGCATCTTGTTAAATCTCTCTATTTCTGTTTGTTTTATGGTTTTATAAAATATGGACAGCTATGTTGAAAGGCGAGATTGAAGAATATGCTTTTCCCAATAAAATATTACAGTAGAAGTGCCGCAGAGCGCAGCTGTGCTCGTGTTAGTGTGAATGTCTGCATCCTCCTAAATATACCCTGATGGATGTGGTCCTCGAGTGCAGCAGGGTGGAGTGTGCACGTGTGCGCGTTCATGCCCTGCAGGAAGCACATCTCAGCGCAGGAAGCAGTGCTGGTGTTGAGTTCACTCTGACATGTAATTAGGTGAAGACGCTGGCAGGTTTGGAGGAGCAGAATGCAGAGAGAAGGACGGCAGAACGTCAGAAGCTCTTGGTGTGAATTAAGCAGCAGCCTGAAACAAAGGGCATTATTGTACGCTCGTGGAAAGCCGCCGGTGCCAGCGCATTAGTCACTAGAGGTGTGATGGCTTCTCCCAGCGAGCTCTGCGCTCATCCCTGCCCATTAAAGGATAATTTAGCGTTTGACTGAGGGGCTGCGAGCAATCTTTTCCACTTGGTTGGGTGCAATATGCCACCTTTGAAGACCCCATTCATTGTGCAGAAAGAAAGAGGCACAAACAGGAAATGTGATACCAGCGACCGGCTGCAATATGAGCGATTATGGCTCGTTTAGCGAGACCTCTTGCACCCTTTAGTTAAGACGGATCCGTGTGTGTTGACTGGAGTGCCGCTCGTGAGATTCATTAGAATAGCTCTGTGATTAATGCACAGATTGTTCACGTGACTGGTGTTTGCCCATGCAAAAGCCACCGCCATGAAGGGTGGTTGCCAGGACGTTACAGTATAGTTGCTAGGTGCAAATGAATAATGGATATGATAGCCTGTTTTCACCTGTTTCACCAGGTTTAATACAAAAAAGTAGTCAGGAAGATATATAGTCATACGGATATATATATAGAGTCATATTTGGAGCTCTTAAGTCACAGTGTGATATAAAAAGATATAACAGGAAAAATGTAATGTCATATTTTGAGATATATAAAGTCATAATTCAAGATATGTAAAGATATACTTTGAGATGCATAGTAAAATTATGAGATATAAAATCAATTTGAGATGAAGTCATATTGTGAGATATATAGTAATATTATGAGATAAATGGTCATATTTCAAGATATATGAAGTCATATTGTGAGATATATAGGAATATTATGAGATAAATTGTCATATTTCAAGATATATGAAGTCATATTGTGAGATATATAGTAATATTATGAGATAAATGGTCATATTTCAAGTTATATGAAGTCAGATTGTGAGATATATGGTAATAGTATGAGCTATATAAAGTCATATTTCAAGATTGTGAAATAATATAATGAGATATTTAAAGTCAATGTGAAGTATTGTGATACTTATTCAGAAGTCACATTATGAGATATTTAGTAATAGCATGATATATAGTAATATGTACAGAAATATTGTCATAATGCGAGATGTGAAGTCATATTGCAAAATGTATATAGTATTATGAGATATATATATAGTCATATGTTGAGATAAAGCCATATTGTGAGATAAATAAGCTTTGCATTGATTTATGGTTTGTTAGGATCGGACAATATTTGGCAGAGATAAAGCTATTTGAAAATCTGGAATCTGAGGGTGCAAAAAAATCAAAATACTGAGAAAATCGCCTTTAAAGTCCAAATGAAGTTCTTAGCAATGCATATTACTAATCAAAAATTCAGTTTTGTCATATTTACGGTAGGAAATTAAAAAATATATATCTTCATGGAACATGATCTCAGAAGCTCTTGGTGTGAATTAAGCAGCAGCCTGAAACAAAGGGCATTATTGTACGCTCGTGGAAAGCCGCCGGTGCCAGCGCATTAGTCACTAGAGGTGTGATGGCTTCTCCCAGCGAGCTCTGCGCTCATCCCTGCCCATTAAAGGATAATTTAGCGTTTGACTGAGGGGCTGCGAGCAATCTTTTCCACTTGGTTGGGTGCAATATGCCACCTTTGAAGACCCCATTCATTGTGCAGAAAGAAAGAGGCACGAACAGGAAATGTGATACCAGCGACCGGCTGCAATATGAGCGATTATGGCTCGTTTAGCGAGACCTCTTGCACCCTTTAGTTAAGACGGATCCGTGTGTGTTGACTGGAGTGCCGCTCGTGAGATTCATTAGAATAGCTCTGTGATTAATGCACAGATTGTTCACGTGACTGGTGTTTGCCCATGCAAAAGCCACCGCCATGAAGGGTGGTTGCCAGGACGTTACTGTATAGTTGCTAGGTGCAAATGAATAATGGATATGATAGCCTGTTTTCACCTGTTTCACCAGGTTTAATACAAAAAAGTAGTCAGGAAGATATATAGTCATACGGATATATATATAGAGTCATATTTGGAGCTCTTAAGTCACAGTGTGATATAAAAAGATATAACAGGAAAAATGTAATGTCATATTTTGAGATATATAAAGTCATAATTCAAGATATGTAAAGATATACTTTGAGATGCATAGTAAAATTATGAGATATAAAATCAATTTGAGATGAAGTCATATTGTGAGATATATAGTAATATTATGAGATAAATGGTCATATTTCAAGTTATATGAAGTCAGATTGTGAGATATATGGTAATAGTATGAGCTATATAAAGTCATATTTCAAGATTGTGAAATAATATAATGAGATATTTAAAGTCAATGTGAATATTGTCATACTTATTCAGAAGTCACATTATGAGATATTTAGTAATAGCATGATATATAGTAATATGTACAGAAATATTGTCATAATGCGAGATGTGAAGTCATATTGCAAAATGTATATAGTATTATGAGATGTATATAGTCATATGTTGAGATAAAGCCATATTGTGAGATAAATAAGCTTTGCATTGATTTATGGTTTGTTAGGATCGGACAATATTTGGCAGAGATAAAGCTATTTGAAAATCTGGAATCTGAGGATGCAAAACAAATGAAAATATTGAGAAAATCGCCTTTCTTAGCAATGCATATTACTAATCAAAAATTCAGTTTTGTCATATTTACGGTAGGAAATTAAAAAATATATATCTTCATGGAACATGATCTTTACTTAATATCCTAATAATTTTTGTTATAAAAGAAAAATCGATAGTTTTGACCCATACAATGTATTTTTTGCTATTGCTACAAATATACCCGTGCTACTTATGACTGGTTTTGTGGTCCAGGGTCACATATATAATTAGATATATAGGCACATTTTCATTTTCAAAATCATATTATGAGATATATAGCAAGTTATGGGGAGTCATTATATTGTAAGATATATTGTAACATTATGAGACATATAAAGTCATTTTAAGAAATAAGTCATAATGTGATATGAAGTCATGTGAGATATATAGTAATATTATATATATACTGTATAATAATATTATGAGATATATTAAGACCTAATTTATGAAAGGGACTCTGAAGGAGGTGAAAATCATATTTCAAGATATATAGTCATATTTTGAAAGTCACAATGTAAGGTATATTGTAACATTATAAGATACATGAAGTCATAATGTAAGCTATATAGTAACATTATGAGATATATTAATTCATAATGTGAAATATGAAGTAATTTGCCTTTTTCATCATCCAGCAGGTGAAAACCGTAAGCCCTATCATCCTCTCTTCAACAAGACACATGATTTGAGGAATCATTCATGTCTGTGGCACAAGTGGTACAGGTTGACTTGCACATTAACGATGGATATGGTTGAGAGTTTTATCATATCACTAACCCTCAGTATGAGCGGTAGTAACAATGATAGATGACCTAGTAAACACCACTAATTAGGGCATTCATACCACAGTGTCTAGTGCTTTCCCAGGTCCATTTGAGTTTGTTTGCTTGTCATATAAGCTGTGGTTTGAGTTATTCGGCCTAATTTGCAGAAATAAACTGCTGTTGATGATTTATAATTTGCATATTATAGACTAATGCATTCTTATTGTTGCTTGTCTCAGCAGAAACGGCTTTCAAACGCATCCGCCGCAGACAGCATGTTCAATTTTAGTCGGCTGGTAAACAGCTTCCGCCTGCGCTCACGGTGTTACTCCGGAGGCGTAATCAAACTCAGACCCAGTGTGAACAACCTTAGTTAACCTACCTGATCAGGTTAGAGAGCCGCTCACTATAGGAAGGTTTTCCTTTTAGAGCATCCTCGCATATCTCTGCCTGCCACACGCGGCCTACGGCGCTGTTTCCACATCTGAGCCATCTTCATTTCCAAAGCACGCTTCCCAAACAGATCCGTCCGCGGCCGCATCCGCATCCACAGCAGCTCAGGGGCAGGAGAGCACGCAGATGGGTCACAGATACAAGCGCTCGCCCCACGACTGGGTCAAAGTCTGTCACTTTAAGCACAAATATATGAAGAGCAGATCTCATTCCCCGGCTCCTCCGGTGCTTTTCATTTCTGGTTGGCACCAAAATGAGATTATTCCCATCCTACAGGGTTGTACCCTGACAAATAATTAAATTAACATTTCAACAGGATTTGGGACGGCTTCCATCTCAAGAGGGAAACATGTTTGCGGAGAAAAAGAATGCAAAACGAGAAGAATGTTGGTGCTCTGACGATTTGGAATAGTTCAGAAATCTAGGGAAGAGGATTAGCAGACGTTCCATTTCATTCTCAGAGCAAAGGGCTTAAACAAACACACGCTAATGAGCTATTCAGACGTCTGTAGAGCATTCAATATATAGTCAATGTAATAAGATAAGTCATATTGTGAGATAAATAGTAACGAGATAGAAGAATAGTTATGAGATAGAAGTAATATTTTGAGATATTTAAGTCATTGTGAAATACATAGTCATATTTTGAGATATGAAATAAATGTGAGATAAGAAGTCATATGATATTCATAGGAATATGATATATTTAAAGTTATATTTTAATGTATGTCATTGTGAGATATATAGTAACATTATGAGATATATTTGCCCGGTTTCACAGACGGGGCTTAGACTAAGCTAGGATTAAATCATAGTTCAATTAAGACATTTAAGCAATTTTTATAAACGTGCTTAGAAAAAAACATTACTGGTGTGCATCTTGAGACAAAACAAAGGCACTGATATATTTTAAGATCAGTCAGTGCAAGTTTCTTTCAGTTGAAACAGCTCAGACTTACATGTCTAGGACTATTCTTAAGCCTTGTCTGTGAAACCAGGGATAAAGTAATATTTTGAGATATTAAGTCGTATTGTGACTTAATTTTGTCATATTGTGAAATATATATTTATAACACATTTTGTCATATTGTGAAATATATAAAGTCATATTTTGAGATATTATATAAATGTGAGATATGAAGTCATATGATTTATATTCATAGGAATATGAGATATTTAAAGTGACATTTTCAGACAAGGCCGTATTGTGAGATACATAGTAATATTATGCAATATATGATCCTGTTTTGAGAAATATTAAGTCAATGTGAGATTAGTCATATTATGAGATATATAGCAATAGTATGAGATATATAGTCATATTTTGAGAAATATTATGTAAATGTGAGATATCAAGTAAGATGTATGTAGTAGTATGAGATATATAGTCATTTTGAGACAAAGCCATATTGTGAGATGCATAGTAATATTATGCAATATATATGATCCTGTTTTGAGAAATATTAAGTCAATGTGAGATTAGTCATATTATGAGATATATAGTCATAGTATGAGATATAGTCATATTTTGAGAAATATTAAGTTAATGTAAAATATGAAGTTATATTATGATATATAGTCATATTTTGAGAAATATTATGTAAATGTAAAAGTGAGATGTATGTAGTAGTATGAGATATATAGTCATATTCAGATAAAGCCATATTGTGAGATATATAGTAATATTATGAGATGTATATAGTATTATGACATATATAAAGTCATATAGAAATAAATAAAACCATGTTGTGAGATATAGGGCTGCGCGATTAATCAAATGCGATTGTCATGCGCATCTTGTCAGTAAAGCCAGTTCTGTGATTAGTAGTAAATCTCCAGCACATGCTTTCAGATGGAGCAGCGTTTACTACACAGAGCCGTAGTTCACTGACAAGCTACGCAAAATCGCGTTCATAATCGCAGACAATTTAATCGCGCGATTATAAAATCGAAGAAATCACATATTTCATATTATTCTAAGCAGTTATAAAGGCTATGTCGATTAGCATTGCATTATTATATACTTTATTATAATAAAAATTATAATACGACGAACTCTGATAAACCATATATTGTCGTAGTTGTGTGTTTATTAGTCACGTTGAATTAATGAAAGCAGTTAAATCTTCTGTTTATTCAACAACCGCTATAGGGATTTCCTGGGTTTCTTCTGGAGGCGTATTTGGAGTTTCAGCGCGATAGCGCCCTCTGGCCTTTCGGATGGAGATTTACTGCTGATCACAGAACCGTGCTTCACTGAATGGCCTTGCGGATGGAGATTTACTGCTGATCCCAGAACCGTGCTTCACTAAAAGATATGCATGACAATCGCAGCTTCTCCCTAATTGAGATTTATCGCCTTTGCGATTTAATTTCGATTAATCGTGCAGCCCTAGTGAGATATATAATATATATATATATATATATATATATATAAATATATAGTCAAAATGTGAGATATAATGCCAAATGATGTTGTATGTATATATAATATGAGATATATAACGTTATATTTTGAGAAACATTGTGATTGTGAGATGTGTAGTAATATTATGCTATATATTCATATTTTGAGATATATTAAGTCATATGAGATATGAAGTCATTGAGATGAAGTCTCAATTTGAGATATATAAAGTCATAATGTAAGAAGTCAGATGACATTATTAGGGTTGGGTACCGAAACCCGGTACCAATATGGCGCCGGTACCTATTTTTAAAAGTATCGATTTGGCACCGGTATCGAAAAAAAACCAAACGATACCCAACCCTAGACATTATGCATACAGTAATATGAGATATATAAAGTTAAATTTTGAGATATAGGGAAGAGGATAAGCAGACGTTCCCTTTCATTCTCAGAGCAAAGTGCTTAAACAAACACACACTAACGAGCTATTCAGACGTCTGTAGAGCATTGGAATCTCTTCATATCAACATGTTTTAATGCCATCTGATAATGCGTCCAAAATAATCAGCGGAACATCTGCGTTGTGCATTTGGTGCAAATGAAGCGCGTTTTGTGTGTAATTGAGGTGAGGTGGATAAAACCTTATTAACCCAATAGAGGAATCCAAGTGTGTTGTTTCAGATGAGTCAGATTACTGGAGAGATCTGTTTTTTCATTAAAGCTAATCAGAGAAATTTGCTCACGTGTTCTCCAGATGCCGAGAGACTCGTGAGTAATTATCTGTGATTGTGGCTGCCGTTGTGCTCGAGTTGTTTGGTTGTTTGTAAAATTGTTTCTGTTATTTTGCGTTGCATCTCAATGGATGCCGGGAATGAAAAGTCAACAAACATGTGCATGTCTGGATATAAAAGCGAGTGTGTTTGACAGCGGTATTGATAATGGGAGCGTTTCATCGCTCAGATGTTGTGCGTTCGTCACTGAATAAACCAGTTCCGTTTCATTGAAATGTTGTGTCAGAGAAATAAAAAAAGACACAAATGAGAAATGAGAGTCAGTAGAATCAAGCATTTCAGGGTGTTGTTTAATAATTGACTATATTATTTGGCAGAAGTGATGTTTATAGTTATTATTGTCGTTTTACATTGTGACATTATTTATTGGACTTGTTTTTTCATCAAAAAAGCAAGAGAGCCGAGTTCCTCTGCAGTAATTGTATCATGTTTTGTACCCAACAGCTGTGGTAAAATCAGTGTAACATTTGTTGCTTGAATAAGTCACATTATGTTTGGTGTTTCAGAGCCTGTTCCAGCAGCGAGACGGAGAGCGAAGCTGGAGACCTTTTGGACCAGCAATTTGAAGAACTCAATAATAAACTCAACTCAGTGACCGACCCGACCGGCTTCTTGAGGATGGTTTCCAGAAACAACCTCTTCAACAGGTCAGACACACAACAATCATCATAGAAAGTGGCTCAGAAACCTCAGAAATTAAGTGTTTTTGAGACCTAAAAAGTGTTCTTTTTATTATAATGAACGTAAACGAGGTCAAAATTACAAATAAACACCATTAGTGTCATAAAATGGGTTAAAATGACTCACTTGCTTTAATCTAAGTTATTTTTTTTTATTTTTTATTTTAAAAAAATCCACCTTGGCTCATTCATGAGAGTTCATTAGACAAGTAGTGATCAAAATTTTGATAAGCTTTCCAGTCAAGCTCCAAAATGACTAATGAATATCATTGAGGTGTCATAAAATTGGTAAAAATTACAATTCACAATATTTGAAGTCTTCTAAAGTCATATGAGACATATGTGAGGAACAGATCCAAATGTAAGTGTTTTATTCCCTGAAAATACACATATTAATGAGAGTTGATGAGAAAAATATATTAAACCAGATAGATTTACTCGCGTAGCATCATAACACACCAGAAAATCTGAAACCCATCATTTAAACTTTTCTCAGTACATTGGTAAATTGTTTTTTCTTGTTCTAGATGTTATGTTTGAATTTTTAACTAAAAGAAAGCACATAAAAACCCAATCAAACACCAAATAATTAAGCAATTAGTAATCATGCTCAGTCCACTGGCAAAAAAAATTGCTTTTCTTGATCTAGATCTGACTCATTTTAATATGAACCAAAATAAACCATTTGGTATTAATCTAAAGAAAGAGAAACCACTTAAATAGTGAAGAAAACCCCAATCAAACACCAAATAATTAAGCCATTGATTAATAATTGATGATTGAATTTGATTGGGTTTTTCTTCACTATTTAAGTGCTTCATAATGAATCAAAAAAAAATTCTCAGTCCATTGACAAAAAATAAATAAATAAAAACCATTTTTCTTTTCCTAGATCTAGTTCTGTTTTATATTACCCAAAATAAACCATTTGCTATTAATCTAAAGAAAGAGAAACCACTCAAATAGTAGAGAAAAACCCAATCAAACACAAAAATCATTAAGCAATTAGTAAACATTTTGCTGGTAATGGATCTAAACTCTGCCGGTGGGAAAGAGCAGCTCAGACGGATGATATTAGGGAGCTGATACGGAGGGATAGAGTCCTTCACATCCTGATTCATTACGAGAGAAAGAGAGATGGTTATTAGCACTGAAAGAGGGGGAGGGAGGAAGAAACGACAGCTAGGACAGGAACAGGAGGCGAGGTTGTGTTAAAGACGGGGTCAGAGCGGCCATCATTAGAGCTCTGCTCCTCATTAAGAGCTCTCAGCGCCGCACATCTCTCTATATTCACTCCTCATCTGCCCTAATGAGCACGTGTCACCGCGTTAAACGAACAATTCAGGCAAAAATGATGATTCTGGCATCGTTCACTCACCCTCAAACCTGTTTGACTTTCTTCGCAAACAAGGAGAATTTTTTGAAGAGTATCTGCACTTTTAAGTGCAGTGAACATGAAGCTGCAGAATGACAGGTGAACATCATTAAAGTGTCTTCCAGGTGGTTCAAAATGTCTTTTTCACTATATTTTGTCTTCTGAAGTCATACACGATAGATTTGTGTGAGGAACAGACCCAAATGTAAACATTTTCTTCACTGAAAAGCCACATAAGGTTTCATGTGACAAGTAGTGCTCAAATGATTCATTAAAAAGATTGAAGAAAAAACAATGATTCATAAATGAATCAGATATTAATGAATGTTTTTGAAACGGATCTGTTGGCTCATTCAGAAGAGTTCAAGAGACAAGTAGTGCTCAAATGATTCATTAAAAAGATTGAAGAAAAAACAATGATTCATAAATGAATCAGATATTAATGAATGTTTTTGAAACGGATCTGTTGGCTCATTCAGAAGAGTTCAAGAGACAAGTAGTGCTCAAATGATTCATTAAAAAGATTGAAGAAAAAACAATGATTCATAAATGAATCAGATATTAATGAATGTTTTTGAAACGGATCTGTTGGCTCATTCAGAAGAGTTCAAGAGACAAGTAGTGCTCAAATGATTCATTAAAAAGATTGAAGAAAAAACAATGATTCATAAATGAATCAGATATTAATGAATGTTTTTGAAACGGATCTGTTGGCTCATTCAGAAGAGTTCAAGAGACAAGTAGTGCTCAAATGATTCATTAAAAAGATTGAAGAAAAAACAATGATTCATAAATGAATCAGATATTAATGAATGTTTTTGAAACGGATCTGTTGGCTCATTCAGAAGAGTTCAAGAGACAAGTAGTGCTCAAATGATTCATTAAAAAGATTGAAGAAAAAACAATGATTCATAAATGAATCAGATATTAATGAATGTTTTTGAAACGGATCTGTTGGCTCATTCAGAAGAGTTCAAGAGACAAGTAGTGCTCAAATGATTCATTAAAAAGATTGAAGAAAAAACAATGATTCATAAATGAATCAGATATTAATGAATGTTTTTGAAACGGATCTGTTGGCTCATTCAGAAGAGTTCAAGAGACAAGTAGTGCTCAAATGATTCATTAAAAAGATTGAAGAAAAAACAATGATTCATAAATGAATCAGATATTAATGAATGTTTTTGAAACGGATCTGTTGGCTCATTCAGAAGAGTTCAAGAGACAAGTAGTGCTCAAATGATTCATTAAAAAGATTGAAGAAAAAACAATGATTCATAAATGAATCAGATATTAATGAATGTTTTTGAAACGGATCTGTTGGCTCATTCAGAAGAGTTCAAGAGACAAGTAGTGCTCAAATGATTCATTAAAAAGATTGAAGAAAAAACAATGATTCATAAATGAATCAGATATTAATGAATGTTTTTGAAACGGATCTGTTGGCTCATTCAGAAGAGTTCAAGAGACAAGTAGTGCTCAAATGATTCATTAAAAAGATTGAAGAAAAAACAATGATTCATAAATGAATCAGATATTAATGAATGTTTTTGAAACGGATCTGTTGGCTCATTCAGAAGAGTTCAAGAGACAAGTAGTGCTCAAATGATTCATTAAAAAGATTGAAGAAAAAACAATGATTCATAAATGAATCAGATATTTAATTAATGTTTTTGAAACGGATCTCTTGGCTCGTTCAGAAGAGTTCAGGAGACAAGTAGTGATCAAACGATTCATTAAAAAGATCCAATGCAAAACAATATTTCATTAACGAATTTGGTATTTATGAATTCATTTGAGATGGATATTTTCAATGAATCGTTTGATCCATGTTGCAAAATCAGTGAACAAATATTTATTTATTCCTGATTGGTTCATAAGAGTTGGAATATAGTGCATTTATCTGCTATTTTGGTATTTATTCATATTTAGAATTAGCTTTTATTTGTATATTTTCAGTTTTCCTTTTAATTTTAGTTGATTTTGTTATGTGCTTTTGTCATATTTATGTATGTATTTATTTTTTTTATTTCAGCTTTATTTCAATTAAAGAAAGTGATTTTAATAGTTTAGTTATTTAAATCTAAACTTTAATTAAGCTTATTTTTAGTGTTACATTTTTCAGTGGATGTTTTTTTTCTGCTTCATTTCAGTTAAAGAAAACCATTTTTAACACTAGTTTCAATTTTGAATGAACATTTATTTTTATATTTTCAGTTTTTATTTTCATTTGAGTAATTTTGTTATGTGTTTTTGCGATTTTAGTACTTCAAATTAACCTTGTTTTATTTCAATTAGTATATTTCAAGTTTTGTTCATTTTTTTTTTATTATTATTTTATTTTATTTCAGCTTTGTTACAGTTAATGAAAGCAACCTTAATACACTAGCCTCTATTTTTATAGCATATTTTTTATCCTTTTTTGGTTCCACACAGGATTTGAACGATATAAATAACCTCAGAATTGTAATTTTGGGGTGAATTGTTTCCTTAAATAGTCCACTCTTTTCTCACACAAATGATGCTCCTCTCTGCCGCCTCTCGTTTGTTTCGGGCCGATGTCGAACCGATCTCTCTTTAAACACTGACGAGGCTTACGCCAGTTTGATCACCCAGTTAACCTCCAAACAGAGACTCCTGTGTGTGTCTTTCTTTGAAGGCGTGTAATGATAAAGCTCCGTGACAGGAAGTGGGAAGGAAGTTTTCTGCGGAGCTCTTCGGTTTCCATAGCGATGGCGATTCAACCTGGAGTATGTGGAGTCGTTACACCTCCACAGATTCTTTAATAACGAGGTGTTTTGATGTCATCTGCTTTTTTGGTTCCACACAGGATTTGAACGATATAAATAACCTCAGAATTGTAATTTTGGGGTGAATTGTTTCCTTAAATAGTCCACTCTTTTCTCACACAAATGATGCTCCTCTCTGCCGCCTCTCGTTTGTTTCGGGCCGATGTCGAACCGATCTCTCTTTAAACACTGACGAGGCTTACGCCAGTTTGATCACCCAGTTAACCTCCAAACAGAGACCCCTGTGTGTGTGTTTCTTTGAAGGCGTGTAATGATAAAGCTCCGTGACAGGAAGTGGGAAGGAAGTTTTCTGCGGAGCTCTTCGGTTTCCATAGCGATGGCGATTTGACCTGGAGTATGTGGAGTCGTTACACCGCCACAGATTCTTTAATAACGAGGTGTTTTGATGTCATCTGCAAGGTGATGTGTGGCTTCTGTCTTTATTTCAAGAGATCCACAGTGACGTGTCTCTGCAGGACACAAAACTGATTAAAGCAAGAAAGCGCTCGAGGCTGTGTGTTACAGTGATTTTACCACGGTAAAGGGCTGCTGTTTGACATACCGTGGTAAAATCTCCAACACACGGCTATATGATAGCTATGGCTATATGATAAATGACACTAATGATCAATAAATTATTATATTTCATAAGATAGTAATCACAATAAACAGTTCCTCTGCCAAGAATAATTCATATTTTTATATTGAAAACAATAATAATAATAATAAATCAACAAAATAAATAAATGTTATTAATTAAATAATAAATAATTGTAATAATAATCATTATTATTATTATTATTATTAGCTTTTGCTGTTAGAATACAGTATGTTGTTGTTTATTATTCTTATTATTTGTCATTAGTTTACAGTATAACACTATTAATTATTTTTAATTATTTTAATAATAGTCATTTGCCAGTAGTATACAATGTAATTGTTATACAAATATAGAATATTAGTATCTAATATTAACTATTATTATTATTTGTATAATAATATATAGTATACCATATAACACTATTCATTTTTATTGTTCTTCTTTTTTCTTATGACTATTTGTACTTCTGTAATTCTATATTATTTGTTGTTAGTATACAGTATAACTATTATTTATTCGAATAATTATTATTAATATTATTTGTTATTAATATGTAATATTAATGTGTATTGTTAATATTACTATTACTGCCGTAATCTATTTTTATTCTACACAGTGAGCTCTTTTTGTAACACATTTTGTAACCCTCTTTTATTTAAAATGTTTATTTTACTTAAATTGCTTTTGGAGTGTTTTTATCTCATCTGTCCATCCTTGAGCCATGACCTGCTGTTATAAAACACACAAACATGTTAAAAAGACAAGCTGCTGTTTTGCAGGTGAACAGCGCCCTCCAGTGTTTCATTAACTAATAGAATCTGAGGTGGTGTGATCTCACTTCATCTTCTCCCATTTGTCGCTATGAGTGAATTTGAAGTAGCACACTAAATATAGTTTTTATGAGGAAAGAGTCTGCGTACTGTATTTCCAGTGTGATGAATGAATACAGGATCATTCATTATATTTGGCACCTCTTTCCTGATTTATTTTGATCCGACTGCCAAAAGTTGCGAAATGACTGCACGCTGCTGTTTGAGCCGTACAGTAAGTACGGGACACTAGTGTTTGACGAGTGTGTTTGTGGTGTTGTTTCAGGAGCTGTCAGAGTATGACGAGTCTCTTCAGTAACACGGTGTCTCCGGTGAAGGAGGGCTCGTCTTCTCTGCCGCGCCGCGCCAGTGCGCTCAGCAAACCCCCGCTACGAGCCCTTTACGACCTGCTCGTCGCCCCGATGGAGGGGGTACGACTGCACCCACACTTCACCAGTGCTTAAGAAACAATTACATATATTAGTCCGTCAATAAGCTGTCCACTAAGTGATAGTGATGTGAAATATAGAATTTATTATATATTTAATGTAATACCCAGGGTTTTATTTATTTATTTTTTCTACTACCTTAATGTTGGCTGTTCTTTTATTTGTAAAGCTATTTTATGATGTATGTCCAATATTTCTTGGCTTGTCTGGTGTAGTTTTGAGTATGTAATGTGATGTCTGTAGGGTCTGATGCACTCCAGCGGTCCGGTCGGCAGACACAGACAGCTGGTTCTGGTTCTGGAGGGCGAGTTGTATCTCATCCCGTTTGCTCTGCTGAAGGGAAGCTCGTCTAATGAGTATCTGTACGAGCGGTTCAGTCTCATCGCCGTACCGTCCATCGGCAGTCTGGGGAGCACTGCTAAAGTAGGCACAGTTCTGACATATTATATAGACCAGTGTTCATTTACTAGTATTTATGTACTATTAAAGTGTTTATTAATATTATAAATCAAATTTTTTTTTTAATTATTTTTTTTTTAAAACAAAATATATATATTTTTTATAAAAATAAAATAAAATAAAG